ATACGGTACCTTTTACCTCGGTATTGCGAATTTTGACGGTACCCGTTTATATAAAAATTCATTAAAACTTGTACATCGACACAATTGGCTTGAAATTTTCAATGTTGATAATTGCAAATGTTGTGATCTATAAATTATAAGCAGTAGAACCTATTATGCGGTATATAGTTTCATGCTTCATGCATATAAAAAACAAAGACGACCTTATATAGCCTCTGAGCGGACGGAGGATATTCATAGATCACGTGTGTTATCATTTGCAGTTATGCAAATTCACTTTTATTTTTATTTTTTTCTCGGTTATTAAAGGCCGTTAAGGCCCATTACCGCAACACAAACTTGCTTCCATCTGTCTCTATCCTGTGCTATTGTTTCTCCATCTCGTATTCCTGCAAATCTCTGATAATTTATTCTCCACTTTGTCAATCCAACTTTGTTTCGGCCTGCCAAGTGGTATTTTCCCCTGGGGTTTCCATTTTAAAACCGCTTTCATAAGACTTTTTGATCTCCATACATGACCGGTCCATGCCATTCTCCTATTTTTTAATACTGCTACTATGTCTGGCTCTTTATATAACTGTTGTATTTCTATATTACTTCGTTTTTCATATTGTTAATTCACTTTTATAAATTAATTAAAAATCGTAGAACAACGCTATCGACTTTATATACCTTCACAGTTTGAGTAGGCATGTTGTGGGCTATCAGATGACCTGCAATTTTATTTTATATTTAACACTTAAGAAGCCCGTAGTATACTGCAGTAGAAGACGGCTGGAGTTTAATCGTGTTTTATGCTCAAAACTTAATTTAAAATGTAAACATTGTGCGATCGTTTTGAAACTTGCACCATTAGATTATACACATGTTCTTGGCTACCATACTTCACAGTAAGCTATATAGCCACATAGGTAGACCTACCGTGCAGGCTACATAATATGTAAATATTATAAATACTAAATATTATTTAGTCCAAAAAAGGGGAACCGAGGAAAAAAGTTTGGGAACCGCTGATATAGACTATATTATATTATAGTTTGTTGTAAGAAACTCAGTTTTTAAATCTTATAATATTATTTTTTAAATATATTTTATTATTGGTTATCAAATAAATTGAACAGAATTWAATAATTTATGTATATAAATAATAGATATAACATTGGTATAATAAAATTATTGTCATAATATTATATTATAATATGTTTATAGGTAATCGTTATTACAACACACGCGCGATTTACTATAAAGATGAATCGGCCAAATCACCGTCTGTACGAGTAGTGGGTTCCGTGCGGTCCGGAGAAACTGGCGTGTGAGACTGAATATGGAGTTACAACCGTATTGGCGGTCGGGCCTTGACTGTACGGCACATCCGGACCATGCCTGTAGTGGTACGGGACGGCGACCGGTCCGTGGCCGTACGGGACATCAGCACCATGTCCGTAGCCGTACGGGACATCCGCACCATGTCCGTAGCCGTACGGGACGGCGGCGACCGGGCCGTGGCCGTACGGGATAGCTGCTGGGTGATGATACGGCAGTTGCACGTCGTTGGTGTATCGCACGTCCGCCTTGTGTGAGGACGAGTACGGCGTCTCGACGGTTTTGTGGAACGCAGACACCTGTCCCGGGTGGCCGGGTGTCCGGAACACGTTTGTCGACGTGCTGGCCACGGCGCCATCGTACGGGCTGCTGATGTAGTGCAGCGGGCCGCCGATTACGACCACAGGTTTCGGTGGTAAGTACGCCGCCGCCGATGTCATAATTACTAACGACGCCACCGCGATGACGAAAAACTGCAGTTTCAATACCTATCGAAGACACAAAAACAAATTCATATTTTAGATTCTAAACGAAGTGATGAATGTATTGATTTTACAATGATGTGTGTTTTTTTTTGTGTCTGTGTACAGCATAACTAGTCGAAATAATGTTTCGACTTCAAACTTTATAGAGGTCAAAAGTAAACATTTTTCAACAGTTTTCAAAAAAATCGAGAAAAA